ATGTATCTTACTTAAGTAACATCAACAAACAAATAAGAACTTTATTTATTTTGAGTAATAATAATTCATTATTCCTTACAATATAATAAGAGAAAATAATAATAAATTAATAAACAATTAATTGGCTAGCCCTTATTCTTGCACTTACACACACGTACACAAATTCATAGATAGAGCCCAGCTACTGTTTTCAGGTATATATAGCTGAGCTTAATAAAACAAATAAAATTATCAAAGTATAGCTGCACAATTAATAATTATATTGCAATATCCTCCTTATCGATCGAGTAGCAGTGATCTGGTGCGTTCATGCATAGCTGCACATCCCATACGCACATGAGCTGCCTTTCTTGCACTTGTTGTTGCAGCTGCCGCAGTTTTTCTTGTCCGACCTCGGATTCACACACTTACCTTTGCAGCATATCTCTGCGTACTTGCATTTCCTCCCACACTTACCACAGTTCGCCCTGTCTGTGTTCCTGTCCACACATTTCTTCTTGCAGCAATCTGGCCCTGCGCTGCCCGACGCCCGACAAACCTTAGGGTATCTGTCACAAGTCATCGCAGGCGGCCGGGAGGCAAGGAAGCGGCTTCTTCCCCTCAGAGAAGTATTATTGTTTTCCTCGTTGAAGAATGATTCTTCTTCGTCTGGTATTGCAGAAAGAGTAGTGATGGCTGAAGCCATTAGCATGGCAAGCATTAGGAAAAGCATGAAGGATTTCATGATGATGTTTCGTTGCTGTTGGTGTGTATGGTATGTGGTATGTATAAAAGCACAGAGAGAGAGAGAGAGAGAGAGAGAGAGAGAGAGAGAGAGATTCCAAAAGGTTCGTAGAGGATGGTGAAGCTTTGAATGTTTTGGATGGAGAAGCATGTAGGGTTTGGAGAAGTATATATAGAGAAGAAGAATGTGAAGGCGGTGTAATTCGTATATGGATGACTATTGATGTGGTTAATGGATTGGTCTAATTCAAAGGGCTACGAAACTTTTAAGTAAACGAAGTTCGGCTTTCAAAGAAACATACACCCCAAATTAGTTAGGCGAATATGAACTTATGAGGAAGAAGAAGAAACAAAATTAAAAGTTTGTTACTCATAGTAGATCATACTAGTTACTAGTTAGGCAGCTGCCGCTGCTTCTCAAACATGGATCCATGGTATATACTGGGAATTAGCTACCTCAGCTAAACCCCAAGCCCGCCTTCCGGTTCCAGGGTCCAAGAAAAACCAAACTGTTGGTCTATTTTTCATATGGAGAAACCGTTACAGAAGCACTTGGACCCTATTTGTTGACTTTCTTCATACTTTTGGAAATCATGTAATTGACCAATATGTGTCAAGAAGTTCAAGGAGGCACGTACGCCGCATAGGTTGATTATTCATTGTATCACATCACATGGTATCATGATATATAACTTGGCACGTGCGACAATATTTACGTTAGTTTGTTAATTTTTGTCTTTACTTTCTAAAATCCTTTAATACACTTTCAGGTCATTTCGATGTAATTGAAAAGCCTATGTATATATATATACTTTTCGTTATACACATAAAGAAAGAAACTAAAGTCGTAGGGGTAAGCGACTATGTTCAGTAAAGAGGCAACAACTGGTAAGTGGATACCGTGTACCTTCCCTCACCACATGAAAATGTTTAGGTGACCACATTCCCTGCTTTGTTGAGCCACGTCATGGAACCGAGAGCTCCAAATGGGTTATTTTTGGTAAGCAGAACTAGTGATGCGAGATGAATCGGAAGCCGGGTTACGGTGCCCAACTGCGCGCTAACCTATAACCCACAAAGGGTGTTGGTTGATTAAGACAGTAAGAAGGTGGTCATGGAAGTCAAAATCCGCTATACTATTTATTAAATAAAAAACTTTGTTTAAAATTGAAAATTATGTATTTTAAAAAACACGTGTATTAGACATGAAACATACGTACATGCATGAATTGTATGTTGCTTTTAAAAAAAAATGTGTATTTTCTAAACTACTCTTATCAAAAGGGCTTTTTTAAACAAAAACCTTAAGCTATACTTGCATTTTTGGTGTTGGCCAAATAGGTGATGGAGAACACCCAGATAAGTGCAGAACAGTACGAGCTTATGAAGGATCTCATAATACCCCTTGGCAGAGCACCCCAATTCTCAGCTCAGAGTGGTGCCTAATGCAAAGGAACGAAATTCAAGGAAAAAAACAAGTTTTTTTTATAATAAAAAAACCCAGTATAGTCGCCTGGTTATACTATTACCCCAGTATAGCCGTACGGCTAAACTATTTAATTGTATTATATTTAAAGTGTATAGCCGCACGGCTACACTATTTATTTAAAAAACTTTTAAAAACTGCAGTATAGCCGTCCGGCTTTACTATTCAATAAGTATAGCCGCACGGTCATACTATAAAAAAAAACTTTTTCAAAAATTTGAAGTACAGCCGGCCCGCTATACGATTTTATTATGTTATATTAAAGAGTATAGCCACACGGCTATACGATTTAAGCCAAAAAAAACCCTGATGTATAGCCGACCGGCTATACTATTTAATTATAATAATATTTAATGAGTGCTGCTAAACAAAACCTAAAATTAACTGAGTACACCCTATGATCTATGTATTATGTATACTGTAATATTTAAAACAAAATGTAAAATTAACTAAATACATCCTATTTAACTACTAAAAATACCCCTGGTACACCATAATACAGACTATCTCTTCAAAAAAAAAAAAAACCAACAACATTCATTGATCTCCCCACAATCCCTTTTTCTTTATACTTTGATTCTCAAGGTTTTTAATTGTACAATATGGGCAATAGTGTTTTTGATATATCCTAAATCTAACTAATGATACAAAAACGTTCAACATAATTCTTTGATATTGATCCTATATCAAATAATAAGTAATACTAAGTAACAGAATCACTCTTATTAAAATACTCAATTTTGCAGCTTCGGGTTTTATGTTTTTTTTTTCCCATGTGAAACACAGTATTTCATGTTGTCTGATTTTATTTTTCTCTTTCTAGTTTTTTTTTTAAAAAAAAATTTCTTCTGAATCCAATATCTAAAACCAAAAAACGACTCTGATTGCCTTCTCAGCCATGTTTTTTTAGTTTTAGTTTTCATCTGGTTGTATTTATCTAGCCGTGTATTATATATGAAAATTCTTTGACCAACTTGGTACTGTGTACCTTCCCTCACCACATGAAAATGTTTCTACGGCATTGCGACTTTAAATTTGCATCAAATTATATTGCCATATATTTATCAATAATTAAACAATTGAGTCGCACTTTTCAAACCACTAGCTAGATCGTAGAACAAGTATTACTATACCATTTATTACTCTTGAATAATATGACATTTGTTTAGTTGAAACGCGTGTATATTTTGCTGGACATTTCCCTTTTGATGGAAGATTTCTGATGGGCTGAAAATGTAGAGTTAAACTTAAAATCCAAACACATGTGAGAAGAGGTGCTGAAAAGCGTAATTTGTATATTGATAAAGTTGAACTTAAATAGAACGTTACATCACCATATTATGCTAAATTTAAGGACATGACTCCTACTAACTTAATCCATTATTAACACTACTGACAAGTGCTCCACTACTGGGAGACTCCTAAAGACTTGGTAAACATAACAACGTGCAACATGACTTCCTACAGAATAGGATAATCAATTTATTTAATTAAAAACAACTGTTGTAACTAGATAAAATCTTAACACCCTCCCTTAAACTAAATGTTCCTTGAACAATTAGTTTAGAGAGAAACCTTCAACATGCACTATAGCTTCTGTCTTCAAGCAATATCCTTGACATAGCAAACTCCTAACAATCTCCTTAGCTTCGAGAACGCCGGTAATTTGAGAGGCTTGGTTAGAATATCAACTACCTTATCTTCACTTTTGCAGTAGATTAAATCAATTGTTCCATCCTTTGTGAGGTTGCGCAGGAGATGGTAGCGAATATCAATCTGTTTGCTTCTGCCATATAAAACTGGATTCTTGGACAACTTGGTTGAGGAGGATACTTGAAGAATTACGTGGTTTGTAAGACAGTCCAACTCCTATCTATTGTGATAACAATTTAGTAATCAGATTGGAATTTTTTTTCGGTGAAGCCCACTAAAAGCTGATGCATGCCATGTACAAGCAACTATGAAAGGGGCCCACGCTACTACTGCAAACCTCCTCGCTCCACGTGCCGCACGCATCTGATGTAGCCGTTGGATTCCAATACGATTCAAACAACCCCATTTTTTAAATTTTATATTCCATAAACGATCTAGATTAAATTTAAGCTACTTTAACCGTGAAAAAAAGATCAAACAACTGAAATTTAAATCCAAAGGTCAAAATTATATTTTAAAATTAATCTAAATCAGATTCAATCCCAAAACTCACTTCAAACTCTATAAATACCCACCTATTTCTCAAATAATGTAAAAAAAATTATATTTGTGGAATTTCAATTTTTTTAAGTCAAATTTTAAAAAAATTTAATTATGAAGTTATTTAAAAAGATTAAATGAAGAAAAGTTATCAATTTTAAAAAAAATTTGACTTAAACCATTCTTAAACAATTTAATGAAGTTGTAAACTTAAAATTTGAATATGAAAAATTGAGGGAAAAAACAGTTTGAGATTGGGTAAAACCCAAATAATTACATTTTAGAAATGGAAAATTTGAGTTTAGCCCCAAATAGAGAGAAAAACTTTCCTGGGGGATGCCAGATAAGAAATCAACCTAAGTTCCCCATCCAATGAGCTCTTGACAGCTGTCACCCACAAAAAATTGGGGAAATTTTTTTTTGTCGCCTCTTGCTCCTTCATCCTCCGCGTACTCTGCAACTCGAACCCTTTTTTTTTTTTTTTTTCTGAAATCAAACCCCCTCTTTTTCTCACTCATCCCTCCCTCTCTTTTTCTCTCTCTTCTTTCCTCCCTCCCTCTCTTTCTCTCTATTTGCATCAGCCAAATCAAAGGTTGATAGAAAGAGAGGGAGATATTGGCCTCTAAATCTGAAGTCAGCCACCTCAAATTTGGAGGCTGGCAATGTCGTCTCGCTCACTGTTGTTGGCCTGAGAGAGAGAGAGAGGTGAGGAGAGCCGACGAGACGAAGCCAACAACGATGGAGCATGAAGGAGGGATAGGGACGCAGAGGATGAATGATGGCGGTGTGGACTTTGTCGCCGACGTTGGTGGATGTGGCGCGGAGCAGCGGTCTGGAAGAGAAGACTTAGATGTTTGTTCTGTCGATTTTTTATTCTGGGTGAGTGTAAGTGAAGTTGCAGAGTAGGCGGAGGATGGAGGAGCAACAGGCTTCAATTTTTTTTTTTTTTTTTTTTTTTTTTAACTCAAGTTTTATTTGCTGACAGCTGTCAAAAGCACATTGGGTCGGGATACTTAGGTGGATTACTTACCTGGCATCCCCGTGCCTGGAAAGTTTTTCTCCTCCATGTCATGCAAAGCGTTGGATTCACCAAGAGTGGAGCTCGGTATATACATCCAACGGACCAGAACGACTTATCGCCACCTACATAAGCAAAGCCCACTTTTCCTCGCTGAAAAAACCCTAAACCCTAAACCCCCTCCAATTTCAGCTCTTCTTCCCTCTCTATACAACGCCGATACTGACTGTTTTAGAGAAACTAGGAGAGGGTTCCACGGATAAAGTTGAAGCTCGAAACGCCTGCGTTTCGACTGCTCGATGGCGCTTTACCTGCTCTATGAAGCAGCTTCAGGCTACTCTCTGTTCCTAGCTCATGGCATCGACGAAATCGGTCAGAACACCGACGCGGTTCGGAGCTCCGTTTCTGACCTAAACCGGTTCGGGAAGGTGGTCCAGCTCACAGCTTTCCACCCATTTGAGTCTGCCCTCGATGCCCTTAACCAATGCAACTCAATCTCTGAAGGTAGATAAATGAAGCTTGTTTAGATTTTGGTTTTGTTTATGCATGTAATTGATTAGGGTTTTTTTTTTTTTTTTTTTTTAAATTTATTGACCCTGTTTCTGTTTGATTCTTATTAAGTGCTTAGTTGGGGTGACTCATGGATGCTCAAGTTTGAATGTCATTCTGCTTGTGTGTTTGTTTTTAATCCCTTGTTGAATGGGAATATGAAGGGAAATGATTTATGCATACATTAGGCTTTTGTTTCCACATTCAACTTTCAAGAAATTGATCACAAATTCGACCCAACTAAATCAGTTTGCATTTTGCCTGGTTTATTGAAAACCTTGCAAAAATTGAAGATATTGGAGCTTTAGATTTTACTGATTGGGTTGTTTGGGTTTTCTATATGGGGAATGCTTAAATGGTCTAACTGGTTCTGTTGAGGTACTGAAGATCAACTTTTTCCCTTCTCCTTTCTTCTCCTAAAAAACTTGCTAGAGTATCTCATGTTGCATATGTGAAATTGGAACTAGCTTAATAGATTATATAATATATTAGAATGTTTATAGTTGAAGTATACTTTTGCATCTCTTGGGTTGCTTGGTGTATTTAAATTACGTTTACTCTTTTAATTTGGTTTTTGGTGAGGTTCTGTCAACTAAAAGGGTATTGCTTTTTAATTTTGGTTGCATTTCAGGGGTTATGACTGATGAGTTGAGAAACTTTTTGGAAATTAATCTCCCAAAAGTGAAGGATGGTAAGAAGCCAAAGTTCAGTTTGGGGTTGGCTGAACCTAAGATCGGGTCTCATATCTTTGAAGCGACAAAAATTCCTTGCCAAAGTAATGATTTTGTCCTTGAGCTGATTCGTGGAGTGCGGCTACATTTTGATAGGTTTATCAAGGACCTAAAGGTTTGAATTTTCTTATCTACACATCCTATTTTTTCACAGTAAATTTCTTTCTTCTTCTTGTTTGCTTTTTTTTCTTTTTGTGGGCTTAATATTTGAAGACAATATCCAAACATTTTTCATAATTCAATTTTTTGTTTTTGTTTTTCCTTCTCTCCTCACATTAGCCTGGGGACTTAGAGAAAGCCCAGCTTGGTCTAGGGCACAGTTACAGCAGGGCCAAGGTCAAGTTCAATGTGAACCGAGTTGACAATATGGTGATTCAAGCAATCTTCCTTCTAGATACCCTTGATAAGGATGTCAATTCCTTCTCCATGAGAGTCAGGTATGATACTGGCATTTACACATATTATAAGTTCAGTAGTTGGAATTATGATTTCTTACTTTAGACCATTTCCAAAACATTCAACCTGTTATATCCTTCGGAAGAATTTGTTAATTGTGTTATTTTGATAAAGCTTGGGTATGAAATTGAAAAGAAAAGAAAAGAAATAATAATTTTGTGTATTCTTATTTGTCACTTCTCTGCAGAGAATGGTACTCTTGGCATTTTCCTGAATTGGTGAAGATTGTCAATGACAATTATCTCTATGCTAAAGTGTCAAAATTTATAGAAGACAAGTCAACATTGTCTGAAGACAAACTTCCAGAATTGACTGACATTGTTGGAGATGAAGATAAGGCAAAGGAGATTATAGAAGCTGCCAAAGCATCCATGGGTAGAATTTCATGATGTATTGCCTTTCATTTATGTGTTTCTCTATCAACTTATTCATCATTCTTATTGTTATTTTTGTTTTAATTTTTTTTACAGGTCAGGATTTGTCTCCAATTGACTTGATTAATGTTCAGCAATTTGCACAGAGGGTGATGGATCTATCTGAGTACAGGAAAAGGCTTTATGATTATCTGGTTACTAAAATGAATGACATTGCACCCAATTTGGCCTCCTTAATTGGTGAAGTAGTTGGAGCGCGTTTGATTTCTCATGCTGGTAGTCTTACAAATTTGGCTAAATGCCCTTCTTCTACCCTTCAGATCCTCGGCGCAGAGAAAGCTCTCTTCAGGTGCTTTTACTTTTGCCTTTCCTAAAGATGTTACATGAAAGTTGGGCCTGCTACTTCCGAATGACAAGAAACAAGTAAAAAAAAATCCTCTTGATTCTTTTTAAGTCCTTAGGTTGACTCTTTTGTTCTTCTCCTCAGGGCATTAAAAACCAGGGGAAACACACCCAAATATGGACTGATATTTCATTCATCTTTTATTGGTCGAGCATCTGCAAGGAACAAGGGCCGAATGGCTCGTTATCTTGCAAACAAGTGCTCTATTGCTTCTCGCATTGATTGCTTTGCAGGTGAGTTTGAGCCTTCCTCATACAAATATTTGGCTGGCTAACTTTTCTTTTCTTATGCGTTGCAGTTTTTTTTTTTTTTTTGGCATAAATAATTTTGTTGTAACCTTCTGTGGTACAGATAGTAGCACTACTGTTTTTGGGGAGAAACTTCGTGAGCAAGTTGAGGAGCGACTTGACTTTTACGACAAGGGTGTTGCACCTCGCAAAAACATTGATGTCATGAAATCTGCAATCGAGAATACTCAAAGCAAAGGTGCGTAACCAAGAGAATATAGTGCTAGATTTTTTCATTTCACATCAGTACGAGCATAGGAATACAATATTTGTGGCGGCATATGAATTCTGTCAATGATATAATATGAGGATTGGGACAATACCTTGCTGTTGCTCCTAGTTATAGACCTGCCTTTTTTCATGTAATTTTTATATTATACTTTTAATGTAACTTATGCAGACACAGAGATGGAGACAGAAGACGTTCCTACTGAAGCTTCAGGGAAGAAAAGCAAGAAGAAGAAGTCAAAGGCTGCAGCTAATGGTGATGATATGGCTGTGGATGAACCAGCTGAGACTACAAATGGAGATGCCGGTGAGGGTAAATCTGAAAAGAAGAAGAAGAAGAAGGACAAGCGGAAGTTGGATCAGGAGGATCAACCCATGGAGGATGCGAATAATGGGCATGTTGAGGAGGATGGAGCAGCCAAACAGAAGAAAAAGAAGAAGAGTAAACATGAAAATGGAGAGGATCTACAGGCTGCCAGCGATGTCAAGAAGAAGAAGAAAAAATCAAGAAGTGAAGACACCGACTAAATTTTGACGAATGTTCTGGTGCTTGAGGGACATGTGGATATATCCTGGGTTGTTGCCCTTATGCTGTTTTGTTCTACAGTTTCTTGGTAGCGTTTTATGTTATCAATATGAACCATGTTGAACACTCCCCTATGTACCTTTCTAGTTGCACTTTCTCTTAATTTGAATTTATTTTTAACATCTGTGTTCTGCGGATTTGGCAATGGTTGTGATCTTAGGATCATATTATAGTTGTGCAGAATAGAAATTGTAGTACAATGTAGGCTTTTGACGATTTTCACGTTCTATAAAGCTGTTTGTGGTCAAGATTATATGCCAAGTGTTTGTAATGTGATTCCCTTCATGCCTGAAGCAAGGCATGTAAGCTCAACTCCTAGCTGCAACTGATTTCCCAGAGAACAAAACTTTAAAAAAGTGTCAAAATCAGTTCTCTTTTGTTTTTGCCTCTCTTTTGACCTTTTACCTTTACCTTTGTTTGTTAATTATTCAATGGATTGAATCCGAAGCATAGGCCGGATTCGCATGATGTCAAAATGTATTAGAAAGGGAAAAAAAAAAAAAAATCACAATTTGACTTTTTCTCTATTTTTTTTGAATTTTAAGAAAATCAGATTTTGACAATGCTTTTGTCTTTTTGACTCTTTAGAGCAATGCCCCATTTGCCCATTCAGAATTTTTTATTTAATTATCAAAATTTAATATAAAAAGAAAATTGAAAATTGTCCATTCATTCGTTCAGATTTTCATAGCAGATCCAAGGGACAAAACAGTCATTTCATTGACCTGGTAGGTAAAACCGCTGCTTATGTTTGAAGCGTTGGAGCGTCCGAAGCTCGAACAAGTACAACGACCACCTCACCTTAAACGTCTCTCTCTCTCTCTCCCTTAGCGTAATTTCCAGAGTGAAAAAAAACCCTAACCCTAAGCACAGAGAAAAAATCAGCCATGGCAAGCATTTCTGCGGCAGCCAACTTGGAAGATGTGCCTTCCGTTGATCTCATGACCGAGCTCCTTCGTCGTATGAAATGCTCCACCAAGCCTGACAAACGCCTCATTCTCATTGGTGAATCCCTACTTATCCATCCTTCATTATACTCTTTCATATGCATATATGCGTGTTGTTTGAGTTTAAAGCTTTTATTTTGTTCTCAATTTTTTGTCAAATTTTGACCCAGATCCGAGAATTCAATGCGTTTATGTTTCAAAATTTTGGTGCCTTTTAGCTTATTTTATGTGTTTCTCGTCTTGTTCTCATTCCTGACTGAGATGTCCTTGCGACTGTGCCCTCGATTTATTGTTTTCCTGTGATTGGTTACTGAGAAAATGTAGGAAAATCCTATGGATAGTTGGAATCATATTACTAAGGAAGAAAATAAGGTTGCTGAAAGTGGCTTGATTTATTTCAATTATGTCTGTTCTTTGTCGGTTGACAGTTCATTTATGTCTTTCAGTTATTGCCCTTTTGCTCTCAGTACCTATAAACCAAATGGTGATTGAGATTTTAGACTTTTGATGGTTTGATCCTGGTTTTTTTGTTTGTTTTCATTTTTTTAAGCTGTAGACGGATAGGGTGATCAATTGTCTATTCATCTCTCTTTCTCTCTCTTCCTATTGTATTCTCTATTATGCAGTAAAATGCTGAGACATTCGTTCCCAAAGGATGTCATGCTGACGAATTCTGGCATGCCTGCATGCCACCTATAATACATTGTATACACATGTAGGTATCCCTGTGTGTATCAGTGTGTTTGTTTTAATTTGAGATCTTGTTTCCGCCTTCCCTCCCTGAAAAGAAAATAGGGAAATCTATGAGTTTTAGACATGTCTTTCCTATGTTGCTTCCTACAGTGGTGATACATGAAGCACCAAATTTTTCCAGGCTTTAAGAAATTTTTCTCAGTGTGCTGGGTTTCATGCTAGGAGTGTTTTCTTTATTTCCTTCGCTGTTTTCATGTGTGTAATCATACAAGTTGTATGGTGCAGGCCCACCTGGGTCAGGAAAAGGTACCCAATCACCTATAATTAAGGATGAGTATTGCTTGTGCCACTTGGCTACTGGTGATATGTTGAGAGCTGCCGTTTCTGCAAAGACTCCTCTTGGGATTAAAGCTAAAGAGGCTATGGATAAGGTAGAAACTCATCTTTGTATGTTTTTATACCATAAGATTTTTCCTTTGTACTGTGTTGTTTTATCTCCCACAGAATTGCTGATATGTTATAATGTAACTGTTTTTCAGGGAGAGCTTGTTTCTGATGACTTGGTTGTTGGCATCATAGATGAAGCAATGAAGAAGCCTTCATGTCAAAAAGGTTTCATTCTTGATGGATTTCCAAGGACTGTGGTCCAAGCAGAGAAGGTGTTCCATTCTCTGGCATCTGAATATATGTTGCAATCAACACTTTTTGAGTTTCTCATGTTCAAAAGTGTCTTGTGTTGGTGTGCCCTTATGCTCTAATAGTATGGTTATATTCATTTTAATGCAGCTAGATGAGATGCTGAAAAAGCAGGGAGCTAAAGTTGATAAGGTGCTCAACTTTGCAATTGATGACGCAATATTGGAAGAGAGGATTACTGGTCGCTGGCTACACCCATCCAGTGGTAGAACCTACCACACAAAATTTGCACCACCCAAGACTCCTGGTGTTGATGATGTAAGGAGGCAAATTTCTTTTCTGTTTTTAGGTCATTTGATTTGAAAAACATTGTTCATGCATCTAAGAATATCAAAAGAGAGACGGGCAAGAAACATTGGCTTTAGAAACAAAAACAGCATATTAATGGCAGGTGTAATGAGAAAGTTAAATATTCAGTAGGTAAGCCAGTAGTGGATGTCAATCTGCTTGTATGTATGAGCTTCAGTTATGCTCTTAGATGAATTTGTGCCGAAAAATCATTCTTCACTTGGTTCTTGTTTTGTTCAAGGTAACTGGAGAACCTCTGATTCAACGAAAGGATGATACTGCAGCTGTTCTCAAGTCAAGGCTGGAAGCATTTCACAAGCAAACTGAACCAGTATGGCTTCTTTACATTTGTCTTGAAAAATTTGGATGAGAAAATAATTAATGAAGTTATCCCTTTTGTATAATTGTGCATGATCTACATTCTGGAATGGTGATATTATTATTAGGTGGTTTTCTTGTGCAAAATGTGTTTTATGATTTGTCTTCAGGTTGCAATGATGATGATGATGATGATGCGTATGTGTGTGGTTTTTCTTTTTGAAGCATCTGTGTTACTTGTGGTTTTTGTTTTTGTTTTTGAGGCATCTGTTTTATTGTTTGTTCTCTTGTAGAGCTGTAGTGAGTTAAGTGATAGATAATCTGAAAACCTCAGGCAATAAGTGCCTGAAACATTGGATTTGATAGGACATAGTTGTGCGGACATATCTCAGCAACTGTTTCTGGGGTGATATCCTTCTTTGAAATGTTGTATTCTTTGCTTCCTGTCAAAATCTTCTTTGTTTTCTGTTCAAGTGCTATATATATTCTCAACCTTCTTGTTTATTACTCCAATTGATGTTTTGTATGGTTTCCTTTTGTTTTTCATTATTTTCTGTAATGGGTTTCATTATTTTGACTTGCAGGTTATTGGTTATTATTCCCAGAAAGGCATTGTTGCCAATCTGCAAGCCGAGAAACCTCCCAAAGAGGTCACTATCGAGGTTCAGAAAGTGCTCTCTTCATAGAAGGGTCCCGTCCCTTTTCAACTTGGATGATTTATCCAAAAACTGTAGTATTTTTGTCCATCTGCATCCTGATATACAATTGAATGTGCCGATTTTCTGCTTATTTTATTGAATTTCAAACTGAAAGTACCGGCTGTTGTCTCACTCTTGATAGTCCAATGTGAGGAGTAACTTGTCAAATAAGATTTATGGAATCACTATTTTATAGCACGGTGTGCGACTGAAACATAGTTTAGTGCAATGCTCTTCACTATGTACAGTTACTTGTACTGCAAAAACTGCTCTGCTTATATTAGTTTAAACATAAATTAGTTGGAACTTCTGATGCTCTTTATTAAGTGCTCTAAGCCCTCATAGCTCATGTGGGGATTTTCCTTACAGCGCATATTGCTCACCTATGGACCATAAAAAGCTTTTCTGATGTCAAATTTTGATGAATTAGCCTTGAACTCAAATTTTCTATATGCCGGTAAGCCCTTGTTGGTCCATACCTGATTTTGCGACATGAGGGTAAGCCTTAAGCTGGACTACTAGCATCATGTGCCCCCAGGATACAAGGATAATGAGACGGCATTAGGATTTAGACAGAGATGAAATTGTCGAGAGAATCCACAGATATAACAGCAAGAACACTCGCTTATCTCCAAGTGCAAGGGCGTAGTTGTTAAAATGTAGGAGAGGCTGAACAATAAGTAAGCCTTTTTCACTTTTTATGATTTACTTTCTGGATCCGGTGAGAATTTCAGAGATTGACATTTTAGATGTTATGCACGATTAAGCAAAATAAATTAAAAGATGCTCCAAGCATAGTACAATGCATGAACGCAAAAGTAACCACTCATAGTGCTTATTCCTAAGTCAACTACTGTGTTTTCCATCGGTGAGGGAGCAAGACCCCACAAGAGCAACTGGCAGACTCCTTTCAACTGAACTTCACAGAAGATGAAGAACGCAGGACTGCAGACCTACGCATCCACTTTAATCTTTTCATCCAGATGCGAGAACTCCTGGAAAAAGGCTTTGAAATGCTCATATGAATACTTCACATCATCAACAGCACACATTTCTCGTATGCTGTGCATTGACAGCTGCGGTGCTCCTACATCAACTGTACGTATTCCCACTCCACTTGCAAGAATGGGACCGATGGTTGAACCACATGCCATGTCATTACGAACCACAAAATCCTGCATTTGAAGCAAAGCTCTGACATCATTAATTCTTTTATCATATCAGCTCTCTCACCAGAGACTGATTCCGGACCACTAACAGAAAGTGTCCTAGGTTTCAGTTAGTCATTTAATTTTCCACTTCCTTACTACTATCCTTGCATTTTGCATCGAGTGCATGTACTGAATGATGTTTTATGTTATCTGAGAAATTAAGTACCGTAAAATTTCCAAAACCAGAATACCAAAAATAGGGAGAGGCTGACCTGGACTGGCAGGTTATGATTCCTTGCTATCTCCCTGAATATTAAGGAAGTGACAGCATTGGTTGCATAGCGTTGATTGGCATTGTGTTTGATCACAAGTCCTCCATGCAACTTGGGTTGATGATTGTCTTCATGTTTGTCCTGAAATGGATCCCTATATTAACATGGAGCAAAATTAATAGCACTGGAAAATTCATTAGTACATCAAACAACATACCATGTAATTAGGATGTAAGGCATGTGCCATGTCTGCAGACACAAGAAAGCTCCTCTGGATTGCCTTCTCAAGCAGCTGGAAAGATATCAGTGCAGTGTAAAAAAATAAGCTAGCCAGATTAAAACGCAGTTATTAATAAACAACCATTGTTGCGTGTCGTAAGGCACTGGACCCATTACCATGATACACTGTATATGATTTGCGCATCTAAATGGCCAAGGAAATGCAGCAACTAACGATCCTTTTTTGTATCAAGACAAACCCAATAGGGCGAGAATACCATACAATTAAAAGGGCATCCAAGATTCAATACCTTAGAATCTGCAGTAAAGGAGTTTGTAATTCGTGAAAGAGTATTTAACATGGCTGGAGATCCAGCCCCTTGGGCGGAATCAGATCCAACCTCCTCATGATCAAACAAAGCCACCAATCTAACACCAGTCTCATCTGCAAGGTTGCTTTCAGAAGATGTTGCATCTATCAATGCCTGCAAATAAACAATAAGGCCAGAAACAAGAATCAGCTGGTACAAATTGAAACCACATAATACAATATACTTTCTATTCTGCTAAAAGAAAACATATATATAAGAAATCAATACTGGTAATGCACTGCAGAGAACACAAGTACGAACCGACAATTAAAATCTTGGCAGAGGAAGAAAGCATAAATAATTTTTTTATTAATTTCTTACCTTCAGAGAACAAAATGACATGCAGAGATTATCAAGCCTTCCTGAGAAAATAAATTCTTTTGTGGCACCAGCTACTATGCTTGGTTGAGTATCACATGCTTGCAATTCAAAATCACTTATATGTTCTGGTTCACATCCAAGCTGATCTGCAAGCAGCTGGAAGGAAAGAAAGAAGATAAACAATATAATCACCATAAAAGCATACCCATAGTTGAAACCATCTAAAAGAGTACTAGTTGTCTTGTTATCCAGCTAACTCGTTCATGTAATTTGAAATCAACCAAAAAATCAATTGATCCTCCAATATTGAAAAGAAAGCCTATTCCATAATAAATTAACCTGTAGTAAAAGTGAGTGATGCTTTGAGTTATTTGAGGTGGTTCTCTCATTAGATGTCTTTCCATGAGTCTGAGCATCGCTATCAGCCTGACCATTTTCAGCAACCACTTTATTGAGCTCTGCCTACAAAAGTTAGTTCATTGAGTGAAAGAAAGCAACATTGGAAAGAAAGCAACATTGAAAAGAAAGGAAGGCATATTGATTCTATTCTAAGATTAACTTTGCCAGAAAAAAACAGTAGCTACTCCACTTCAATAATTAAATACCATGCTCATTACATATCTAATGAGCGTGGGTATAACAACGTTATAAAAGTGCATAAGTCCAAGACTACCTTGATTGATGTTGCCAAGACAGGAAGAAGATGACTCTGTGTATTCACCTTAAATGCATCTTTGACATCCCTGACAAAAGACAATGAAAATATAGATTTCTATATCAAAAGTTTGACAAAGGTAAGAGAGCACAATTTAACCAGAAAATAAATAAATAAAAAATCACCAACGCATATTTCAGTCCCAGTCATAAATCACTCAACAATCAAACGTGTGAATAACATATTGAGCACAGCAAGATTACCTGTCTAAGTGAATTGCCAGAGTAGGGATCCGCATTATGGGCTCCTCAATTCTGACAAGTTTATGTGAATAAGAAACAGAGCCATCTTTTTCTTCTCTTACTATCACCCTTCCTGCAATCGTCAAGTCACGGTCGAACCAAGTATGCCATAAGCCACCTCCATAGGTTTGGACACCCACTTCCAAGTACCCACCTTTAGCTACCTGCACGAATCCCCCATATTCCAAAACAAAGTTCAATTTTGTTTCCAAAGTGTGTCCACTTTTCATCAGATCATTTGCCTAATACTTATATTCAAATACCAAAAACAACGAAAAAGATATTACCATGGAGACGGGTTTCAATTTGAGACAAGGACTATCAGTATGAGCACCAACTATATGGAATCCGTTTCCAGCAACATATCTAAACATAAGCTCCACAATATGAGCAAAATTAGCTTTCTGAAAAACTGAATCTTTAAGTTTAAAACCGAGCTTAAATCAATGAAAGAAAGCAAGCAGGCCGGAACTGAACTACAAAACAAAGGAAAAAATCGATGAAATGAAGTCGTACTTTTTACCGATTGCGAAAGCGACAATGGTGGAGTAGTTCCTGGTGAAGAAATACTTTTTACCAGCTTCCAATTTCCAATCTTCTCTTTCTGAAACTGGCTCGTACCCTGCGTTTTGCAGGCGCTTCTTCGCCCCGTCTGTCAAAAGAAATCGAAGCAGATTACAAAGTCAGGCATTTGAAAAAACCACATTTGAAACTCAAAACCAACAAAAGCAACCAACTTTGGATTGAAAATACTAACTGATGGAAAAGAAGAGTGAGAGAGAGAGATTTGGATGATTACCGACGGCGTGGAAAGCAGTGGGAGAAGCGTTGAGGAAGTTGATGAGATCAGAGACGACTGAGCTTCCTTCACAGTTCTGTTCTTGCTTTGCCATCTCTGTTCTCTGTTCTCCGTTCTCTCTTGATGGTAAAGTCTCTCTTTCTCAGCTTCTTTTGTACGTATGTATTTGGAGATTCCAAGATTTCTGGCTTTCAAGCAGCTGTCAAGCTTTTGAGGTTTTTCAATGGGACTCCGATTCTGCGTGAGATTTACTTACTGAACCAGATTCTTTGTGGGCTGTACAGGCCCGTATCCAAACTGACCCATTTTTCAGTTATCATTTTGGAAATTTGCTACTAGAAAAACTTGTGTATCCGGAATATTAACGGGTTACGGCCCTGTATTTGAGATGCATACTCTATCATTTAACTTGCATATCATCTCTATTCTTTTCTTTATTATTATTATTTTTTTTTGGGGTGATATGGGATTGTTATGATTAATCCGATTTTGTAAAAAAAAATTCATGATCTCCCTATCATTTTTCTTTCGCGACCCACTAATACATTGGGTCTCACTAATATTAGAGATGTGTGGTACACAAGGTTCCATTCATGACCCACCAACACATTGGGTCTATAAATGTGATCTCCCTAGCATTTTCCATTCGTCCGTTAATATTTCTCTTTCTAATACTGGAAAAAATTATTAAGTTGTCTCTCTTATTGATTAAAAAAATGAAGAATTTATGTAACTTAAGGATGTATGAGTACAATGCAGGTCCATTAGATTTTAGAATGAATGACTCTTTATTCTAATTTACAGCTACCCTTTGATTCCATTGGCAGTGTATGTATGTAATGTAAGCTTCCAAATCCAATCTTGCCAATGACTTGTAAGCTCTCTTTTGAATCCTTCATTCTATTCCAAATGTATGAGCCATGTTGTCTTTCTCTTTCTCTTTCTCTTTTTCTTTTCTTTTTTCCCACGTGTCAATCAAAGCAATATTCTTTAATAACATTACATAACAAATAAGCACACTCTCAAATAAATAAAATAAAATAAATTGCCTTTAAATGATCTCTACAAAAGTAAAATAATTTGTGGTTGATCATGATTAATTATAAATAAATAAATAAACTAACATAACTACTATTTAGATTATAAGAAGCACTTTGAACAAATGCCTGCAAGCGTTAACATGTGTTTTTTTTCCCGGGAAAACCAAAACCGAAAAACCGTCGATTTCCTGGTGTGTTGCATTATTACCAAAACACCCTTTTATGAATTTCTTAGCATAGTTCTCTTACTGCGCTAATTCTGCAACAAACCAAGGGCAAAATGGACAATGCACATTAAAAACCAAGAATCGAAGAAATCGCCTTCCATAACAAGCTTCTCTTGCTTTCATCCAATTCCCATTTGTTTTCTTCACTTACAATCTTTCAAACCTCTCACTCTTCCCTCTTCTCTCTCTCTCTCTCTCTCCAAGAACTCAAAAACCCAACATTTGCAGAGAAGCAGAGCAATCTTCCGAATCCCAACTACACAGAAAACGCCATTGTTTGATTTAAAGCTCTGCTTTCATTTCATGGCAAAAGCAAGGAACATGAAGACCTCCACCTTCACCACAAACCCACCATCACCATTCTTTCACTTACTTCCAGTCACTCCACTCACCACCCTCCTCTTCTCCCCCAAGACGAACCGTTTAAGGCACCCCAAGCTCTGTTCCAAGCACCCATTAACTCTCTCAATCTTCTACCTTTCTCTCCTATTTTCCTTCACTTTCTTGGGAATTTCCATTCTCACCCTCATCCCCTTTTTCCATAACTCGATTCCCTGTTCAACGCCATCTCCCACGTCGTCATTCTCTTCTTCATTCTTGGCGTCACTTTCTTCCACAGTTTCATTCAACAATGAAGATGATCAGCCAAGATTGTCAACCAGCGCCATGGTGCCATTCCCAGCTCATGGGGCTGTTGGGAATGTTTCAGAGGCTGAGAGAGAGTTCTGGCAACAGCCCAATGGCGAGGGCTACGAGCCTTGCTTGGATTTCAGCCTCAGATATCGAAAACTGTCTGCCAGGATTTCCAAGGAGAAAAGGAGGTTCTTGGTGGTGGTGGCATCAGGGGGTTTGAACCAGCAGAGAAATCAGATTGTTGATGCTGTTGTTCTTGCAAGAATTCTTGAGGCTGCATTGGTTGTACCAACCTTGCAGGTTAATCTCATTTGGGGAGATGAGAGGTTTGGCTTTCTGTTTTGATCAATTTTGATGTTCTTGGTCCTTTTAATGCAAATAATGAATGCCTCTACAATTTGGGTACATTGGTTTTTGAGCATGTTAGTTTTTTCTTTTGTATACTTTGGGCTTAGTTTCTTGTTTAATTTTAATTTTATAGCATAATTTTAACATGGTCTCATTCTACAGAAAGAATCGTTCTGCATTGATGATAATTGGTGTACCTGAAATTTTAGGAATGAATTAATTTGTTTCAGTTGAAATTGCAGTGAATTCTCGGATATTTTCGACGTGGCGCATTTCAAGAAGACTTTACAAGCTGATGTACGAGTTGTGTCATCTCTTCCCTCCACACATTTGATGTCAAGACAGACAATTGAAAACAAGATTCCACATGAGGTCACTCCACAATGGATCCATACCAGATTCTTTAATCAAGTAAGGGAATCTTTGTCACGTTGATACTTGTTTTCGAAGCAATTTCTAATTCAAAACTGATTTGAACTACGAAAGAAAAATCATTTTCCTGAAATTTTGTTTGGGATGTTATGAAGCTGAAAAGAGAAGGCCTTCTTGTGTTAAAAGGGTTGGATTCTAAGCTCTCCAAGAATCTTCCTCCTGATCTGCAGAAGCTTCGATGTAAGGTACACAAGGACATTAATCAGCACCATCAGATTCACAGCAGAAGGGCATCTCTTGTATATCTATATTCTACTACTATATATTTGTATGTTCATGAGATCGTTGTTTCTGTTTCTTGTTTGTTTTTCAGGTAGCTTTTCATGCATTAAGATTTGCATCACCGGTTCAAGAACTTGGAAATCTACTTGCAAAGAGAATGTGGATTGAAGGGCCCTACATTGCACTCCATCTCCGGCTAGAGAAGGATGTGTGGGTCAGAACCGGATGTCTCACTGGTTTAGGCCCTGAATACGATGACATTATCACCAAGATTCGGGAGTCTCAACCAGAATACCTCACAGGACGAGTAAACATGAGCTACATCCAGCGGCGACTTGCTGGACTCTGCCCTCTAAATGCATTGGAAATAGCAAGGTATAGTAGCAGAACTGCAGAGCTGTCACTTTATAGTTTTAAGTACCTCCTTTTTTCCTTTTCAGTGGCATGTTCATAAGTTGTGGTGCTAATGCAGGTTTCTTAAGGCTCTAGGAGCACCAAGTGGTGCACGGATATACAGCGCAGGAGGTGAGGCATTTGGGGACAGCAGGGCTCTGCAGCCACTTGTGGCAGAGTTTCCAAATTTAGTGACAAAGGAGATGTTGGCTCGAGATGGAGAACTCTCTCCTTACATGAACAAGTCTTCAGCTCTGGCTGCCATTGACTACATTGTCTCTCTGAGCAGTGATGTCTTTGTACCTTCACATGGTGGAAACATGGGCCGAGCAATGCAGGTAAGATCTTAATCAAAAGCTTTTTCATTCTGATAATTCTGTGTGAAATTAACCCTGAATCAGGACATTATTTGATCTAATGTTTCTCATCTTTGCTTTGTATTTTCAACTTGACAGGGTCACCGTGCCTATGTGGGACACAGAAAGTTTATAAAGCCTAACAAGCGAGCGATGCTGCCTCATTTCGAAGACGCCTCCATTGGTGATGCAGAATTTGGAAGCATCATGAGAGAGTTGCATAGGAAGTCTCAGGGGCAGCCTGAGCCAAGGGGTTACAGGAGAAACCGAGATGTGATTGCATACCCTGTGCCTGAGTGCATGTGTAAACACAACGCAGGCATTTTCTAGTGCTAAATCAGAAACATTTTGTATATCTGTCTGTTTTTACTATAATGAAAATTTCTGTTCATTGTAGCACTAAGTTTGGACTGCACGTTTAAGCAATAATTCACATAATCAACAGTCCGAAAATGCAGTTAAGCATAGCTGCAGACTTTGTCTGGCCGAGAGTAGAGTAAAAAAGAACCCTTATATTTCTGGATGGGAAATTGGTGAACCATCTTAACTCTTTCTAGTTTTGAACTCAGTTTGAAAACGCTGAAAGCTTGTGTGACTTTGCAGTAGTAATTAAAATGCTAAACGATATTGAACCGCCTTAAATTATTTGTAACCAAAGGAGTTTGGATACACAAGTATGAAAGGAAACATAATCTTGGTAGTTTCTTCAATCAGATCAACACAATAATACAGAGAATTAGAGAATCCAAGGAAACATAATCAGATTCTAGTACTTATCACCATCTTGAAGGCATGAAATAACTTGCTTTTGCATGCATCCATCCAAGAGAACAAAACGGTGACCAAATCAAAGACAAATAAAAGCAATGACTGATAGAATTTACTAGTTAGATAACAGTTGATCACAGATTTTTATTGCTCTCATCATATAATCAAAATTGATTGTTAAGAAGTAAAATATAATAAAAACAGTAGAACATTGACTTATGCAATTAAGCAGATAATTTTATAATTCCTTCAGTGCCATACTGTTTCTAAATATTCGAATAGATTTATAGCCGCGCGGCTATACCCTTGAAACATTTAATATATTTATATAGTATCGGCTATACCCTTCAACTATTTTAATGTATTTAAATAGTACAGCCGCGCTGCTGTACTCTTTATATAGCCCCCCGGCTATATTATTAAAACTGGTTTTTTTTCCTGCAGGCACTTGATGTCAAGTCAAGACAGACAATTGAAAACAAGATTCCACATGATGTCTCCACAATGGATCCATATCAGATTATTTAATAAAGAAAGGGAATCTTTATCAAGTTGATACTTGTTTTCGAAGCAATTTCTAATTCAGAACTGATTTGAACTACAAAAGAAAAATCATTTTCCTCAAATTTTGTTTGGGATGTTATGCAGCTGAAGAGAGGAGGTCTTCTTGTGTTAAAAGGGTTGGATTCTAAGCCCTCCAAGAATCTTCCTCCTGATCTGCAGAAGCTTCGATGTAAGGTACACAAGGAAATTAATCAGCACAATCAAAATCACAGCAGAAGGCAATCTTTTATATATCTATATCCTACTATTATTTGTATGTTAATGAGATTGTTGTTTCTGTTTCCTGTTTATTTTTCAGGTAGCTTTTAATGCATTACGATTTGCAGCACCTTGCAAAGAGAAAGTGGATTGAAGGGCCTTACATTGCACTCCATCTCTGGCTAGAGAAGGATGTGTGGGTCAGAACCAGATGCCTCACTGGTTTAGGCCCCGAATACGATGACATTATCACCAAGATTCAGGAGTCTCAACCCGAATACCTCACTGGATGAGTAAACATGAGCTACATCCATCGGCAACTTCCTGGACTCTGCCCTCTAAATGCATGAGTAGAATTGCAGAGTTGTCACTTTACAGTTTGAAGTACCTTTTTTTTTTTTTCAGTGGCATGTTCACAAGTTGTGCTAATGCAGATTTCTTAAGGCTCTAGGAGCTCCAAGAGGTGCATGGATATACAGCGCAGGAGGTGAGGCATTTGGGGAGTGACAAAGGAGATGCTGGGTGAGACGAAAAACTTCAGCTCTGGCTGCCATTGACTACATTGTCTTTCTGAGCAGTGATGTTTTTGTACCTTCAAATGGTGGAAACATGGGCCGAGCAATGTAGGTAAGATATTATTCAAAAGCTTTTTCGTTCTGATAATTCTGTGTGAAACTAACCCTGAATCGGTACATTTGATTAAATGTTCCTCATCTTTGCTTTGTATTTTCTACTTGACTGGGTCACCATGCCTATGTGGGATACGCACAGTTTATAAAGCCTAACAAGCGATAGATGCTGCCTCCATTGGTGATGCAGAGTTCGGAAGCATAATGAGAGAGTTGCATAGGAAGTCTATGGGGCAGCCTGAGCCAAGGGGTAACAGTAGAAACCGAGATGTGATTGCATACCTTGTGCCTGAGTGCATGTGTAAACACAACACAGGCATTTTCTAGTGCCATTTGTGAAATATTTTGCATATGTGTCTGCTTTTACTATGTTCAAGCAAGAATTTACATAACCATTTGTCTGAAAATGCAGTTAAACATAGCTGCAGACTTAGCTAAACGATATTGGACTGTCTTGAAGTATTCAAGCAGTCCGGAAACAGAAGAATGAAAGCAAACATAAATCTCTGTAGTTTCTTCATTCAGATCAACACAATAATACAGAGAATTAGAGAATCCAAGGTAGATATTAAAAGCATGTCTTAGGTAATTCTTACTTGAGTTGAGCCAATGTGGAAATGGGGCAGGCAGCTGAGCCTGAGAGCTAGGACTCCATGTGTGCAAACCATGTTTACAGACTAGCTACTCCAACAATACTGGATGATGGAGACACAGCAGTATTTCACTGGTTAAAATCTTTACTTTGACACGTGGCATAATAACATTGGCGCTGAATAACAGTACCATTTCATATTGTTCCCAATCGCCTGCTTCTATTGACCAAAAAAATTAAAAATTTAAATTCGACTTTTAAAAAGAAAATCGCATGCTTCTGACCTTGTTAGCTTACCGGATCCCCCTCCAGAGACCCTTCTCTGTAATTCAATAGCCGATCGTCCCCAATCACTCCGGCTATTTCTCCGATAAGGTACGTCTCTCATACATACAGACATATCTGAGGTATATATCAATCATTACCATCATCACGGTAGTTGTGGGCGTTTTAGAATTAGGGTTAGGGGTGGGAGTAGGTACCGTCTACATCTGAGTTTTCAGGCCAGTGAGAGCATTTCTTAGCTGAGTTTTCAGGAGCAAGTTTCGTTATAGGCAGATCGGTGGCAAATTCACTTCTAATCGTCATGGGCCTGTTTGGTGGGCTTGAATTGGATTCGAGCCCACACCGAGCCTTCTCCTCCAATCCAATCTTCATCATATCACCCCGATAAAACTAGGTTCTTCACCAGTCACCTCCGGCGAACTTGAGCTGTTTCCAGCGAACCTCACCCATCTCTGGCTCAAACCACGTCATCTCCGATCTCTTATTTCTTTTCTGGACTTCTTCGTCATAAGTGATTCTTCTGTGGTCGGTGTCTCCTTCGTCCCCTGTGCTTCTCCTTCATCGTCTTCGCCGATTAAGATCTTGCGTTTTGTTTCGATTGCCATGTGAGTTTTAATGATTGAATTCTCTGACAATATTTGAGATTCTTTTAGGTTAGGATAAAGCTTGAATTTTTCATTTGATCATACAATATTGAATTTGGGTTTGTTTCCCTTTTACATTTCAAGGGTCTTTGCAATGTTTAAATGTCTGTACATGTGTGTGTGTGACTGAGACTGTAATTGGGTATATCGTTTGAAGTCCTAGTTTTGGCTTTTAACTGCTTCAATGATTTCTGATGTTCATTTAAGCAATTAAACAGTAATTTGATGCAAAATCATTATCTTAATCATGCATTTGATGCTCTAATGCATTCGTTGTTCCAACACATGAAAGTTGAATTCTTGTTGTGAAAATGAAAATTTTCATATGGTGGTTTTGTTCTTCTCAGAGTGGATCAAAGAGTGATACGGCATTAACCCAATTGCTGGGAGGAAAAAAAAAGAAAAAGCTTGTGAAATAGGCAAACTCCTTCTCACAGTCAGTTTATGTTTTCGCATACTTGCTATATAATATTGGTTGGGGTCATCTCCGGGAGTTAAGAATTTGGCATAGCTAGTATGGTCAGTTGAAAAGTTTGTTTGTTAGCCAGTGTTCAATTTTCATGTCTGAAATAGCAATTTTTAGCATTATCCAGCTTCTTTATCCCATGTAACACCAATCATAAGATAGGATTAAAGATGTTAAAAATGATCCCGTGTAATATAGTACTATGTAATAATCCTATCCAATCCTGCATGCCAAACGAGGCCTATGTTCAGATTTTACCCATATGTGCCCCTGGCACTGTATCTTGTCATTGTTGAATTGTATTTTTCTTCTTCCAACTTTACAGAGATTCTGAGCGGCAGTTATCAAATATGGCATCGTTCCGAGCATTCTTGAACAGTCCAGTTGGTCCAAAAACAACTCACTTTTGGGGACCTGTTGCGAACTGGGGCTTCGTTGCCGCTGTATGCTTCACTTCCATAATTTCTAGAATGTATTTAATTTCAAATGAGGTTTCTTGCTTTTTGACTAATTCTGATCATAATGGGTTGATTTAACAGGGATTGGCGGATATGAACAAACCTCCAGAAATGATTTCTGGCAACATGACAGCAGGTCCAAAATAACTGGTTTTCAAGGATGTAAGTTATTTTCAGTATATATTATGTGGCAGGAGTATAATTTACTTTGGATTTGGTTCTGCAGCAATGTGCGTTTATTCTGCATTGTTTATGAGATTCGCATGGATGGTACAGCCTCGCAACTATCTACTTTTGGCATGCCATGTCTCAAATGAGACTGTCCAACTCTATCAACTCTCTCGCTGGGCAAGGGGTCAGGGGTAAGTGACTAGCTGATTTTATCATCAATTTTATTGTAAATATATGATAAAATGACAAATTGCTTTCTTTAGTTGAGTTGTCAATTGCCTAAAAACACAATATCCGGAGATTTATTGTTATTTGCTTGCTTTATTTTAGGTACTTTACCCAGAAGAAGGATGAACCGGCGTCCGAGTAGCTTGCTGCTTCTTTCATTCCCTTCCTGGTTCATTGCCGAAAACAGACGATACTGCCATCACCACCTACACTCCATGTTCTTGAAGAACCAGGAAGCAACTTCGGCGGCTGGTTTATTCACTTCGAAGGATCTCATGCTTGCATTTCCTTTTGTTGTACACGTAAGCAAAGTGCAAGACCCAATAGTAGACAATAATTGAAAAAAGATCCGTAACTGTATGCACTGAGGGAACAATACCCCTGATTTTAAATAAATAAAAACTTATGGAAGAAATCAGTGACTGTGACATAAGAATATAGCAAAATTGGAGACATCTCTCAAAACGTTAAACTACTAATTTATTTATTTTAATAATAATGTTTCTTCAACCACTCAGTTTTAACATCAATGTGTTTTCGTGGATCATCCTTGCCATTATTTCCGAGTTGTAATTACTGTGAGTTTCTTGCTATTAGTTGTGTGAAGGGGTTTTTTTTTTTCTTCTAATCTTTCAATCTTCATGACTAATTTATTTATATATAAAATAACAAAAAATTATCGAATTGTAATTCTTTTTTGTTGTGTGTTTACAATTTCCCGAGTTATAATAATTGCATCAACTCTTTATTATTTTTTTGTCAACAAACTCCCTTCATTAAATATGTAAAAACATTACAAGAGTTTGTAGGCTGAATAACCTAGGTAGAAGCCCAAGACGTAGGCCCAAAAGATTACAAAACAGAATTGTAAGACAAGCGAGGCCCACATACAAAGTTTCAAACCTGAACAACCCCTAGAACTGAAAACAAGATGCCGCCGCACCAACCACAGCAAAGCAGCCGAACCACCATTGCAAATCCACAGCCACCAAGAGGGAGTCTCTGGTAACAAAGCGAACCAAACGTATGAACGGAAGATGGGGGTGAACAAGCCACCCGCGCAAAATGCTCTCCCATAATCCAAGTAAATAGTGCATATTGCACTTTAAAGGCATCCTCATACCCGAACACGCCGCCAAGTAAGACTGGCAGAGGAGGCATCCGTGAACACGAGGAGTGGAGATCTGTGGTGGAGACCAGGCGATAAGCGACAACAATAGACGAAGAACCTCTGGAAATGAGCATAAAGCCCAAGCAAAATCACCACAGAGGGTGAGGAGGATACAGTAAAAGGAAGAGGGAAACAAGGAGAGATAAACAAGAGAGAAAGGAAGAGGAGAGAAAATGGGGAAGGAGAAAAAAGGAGGAAGATGAGGGGAGGGGAGGAGGGGCAGACCGCCTCCCCCCCAAAAGCAGCGCTGAAGGGTAGGGGACTAGTAGAGAGAGAGAGAGCGCTTTAGGGTCTGCGTCTTTTTGCATCAACTCTTTATGGGTTGGGTATTTGTTACTTGTGAGAGTTCAACAGTTGTATTTGTATTGTTAATTTAGGGACTAATACTATAGTTAATCTCTGACGTGTTCAAGCTTAGTAAATACCCTATTGTTGGTTTAGGGCTAAGCATAATCCATCACAAATTTATATTGCTTTCAAATATATAATCAAAATTGATCACTAAGAGCAACTCCACCCATTTGCCCTTAGCCATGGCAGGGGGGGAGCTAGGGCAGCCACTATTCACGTGAATAGTGGTTGCCCTTCCAAATAGTATTTTGTGTTTTCACTTATTGTCATGGCTAAGGGCAATTACTATTCATTTTTTTATTTTTTTTTCACAAATTTTTTTACTTTAATAATTAATTTGGATAATATTTTCGGATAAGAGTTCCGGGTTCCTACGTGTCAAGACTATTCATAATCGGATAAAATTTTCGGATAAGATTTTTGGTTCAAATTTCAGATAAATTTTTGGGTTCAAATTTCGAATAAATTTCAAAATTTAAAATTCAAATAAATTTGGGTTCAAATTTCGGATGAATTTCAAATTTCAAATAAGATTTTCATCCAATCAAATCAAGCCACATGGCATCTCTATCTTGCCAAAATTTTCTATAAAACCAGAGGCTCAGCTCATACCTCTCACACCACATCTTTCTATATTTTCATTTCTCAGAGTATAGAATTCATATTTCATTCATTCTCAATGGAAGATTTTAGGAGATGCTTGGAGAGGCAAGAGCGCGAAACAAATGAGAGAAACCATAGAGCAGATGAAATCAATGAGTTGCAGAGACAAGTTGATGAACAAGTTGTCATAGCAATGGCTTTGCAAGATGAAGAGAACCAAGGTCGCCACCATAGTTCACAAGTCGGCCGCTGCCAGAATGTGGACAGACATAGGCATTTTAGGGATAAAAATCTTTTGGAAGATTATTTTATTCCAACTTTTTTGTACTCTGATGTTGATTTTCGAATGCGATTTAGAATGCAACCCCATGTGTTCAATAAAGTCATGCATGATATTTGCAATTATGATGCATACTTTGTTCAAAAGTATGATGTTGCTGGGGTTTTGGGGCTTCTTCCGGAGTAAAATTTTATAGCTATTATACGAATGTTGGCGTATGGAGCATCTGCTGATCAGGTGGATGGGATTGCCCAAATGGGGAAGTCCACTACGTTGGAGGCTTTGGTAAGATTTTGTGATGCAGTTGAAACTTTGTACACTAGGGACTATCTGCGTAGGCCTACTCCCAGGGACCTCCAACAACTTCTACAAAAAGTCGAAGCTCAAGGATTTCCAGGAATGATTGGTAGCATCGACTGCATGCACTAGCAATGGAAGAATTGCCCAACTGCCTGGCAAGATGATTACGGAAATAGAAAAGGTCAAAAAAGTATCATCCTGGAAGCTGTTGCTGGCTTCGACACATGGGTTTGGCATGCATTCTTTGGAGTTGCCGGATCCCAAAATGACCTCAACGTGTTGGGTCAATCCCCGGTCTCCAACAATGTATTGAGAGGCCAAGGCCCCAATATCACTTATCAAGTCAACAATACAATCTACCAGATGAGGTATTATCTAACTGACGATATCTACCCGAGGTGGACCACTTTTGTCAAATCCATTCCGAATCCCCGATCCCAGAAGCAAAAATTATTTGCTACCTATCAAGAATGATACAGGAAAGATGTCGAAAGGTATTTTGGCATTCTTCAAGCTCGGTGGTTGATTATTCGAGGTGCGGCCCGTATATTTGATGAGGAGATCCTCAGAAGCATTATGATGACTTGCATCATCCTCCATAATATGATTGTGGAGGATGAGTACGATTATGATGCTTTAGAGGTCTACGAACTGGATCCAATGAACACGGCCTTGACACGGATTTATGAAACGCCTATGGGGCCACGTGGAGAACCGTTTGAGCCAGAATCGTTGGTGAAGGATGGTCGTTTCATGACCCGAATGATAGATCAATATACAGAGATGCAATCTTCGTATATTCATGACAGGCGTCAACAGGGGCGGAGCTAGAATTGTAAAGTTAGGGGGGCCGAAATAGAAAATATAAGTATATAAAACACTTAAATATTCAATACTTACATGTTTAGAGCTAAATATTTCTAATTAAGTCATATCTAATTTGTTTTAGAGGACATTTTAACTTAAATTCTAAGTTATTTATTACAAATTCTATATATTATATATAATATAATCGAAGAGTGGTAAAAATATGGGGGGGCCAGGGCCACTCCAGGTCTAGGAGTGGCTCCGCCACTGTTTTAGAGGCTCCTACCCTGTAGCTTCCTCATTTTCTTTTGCAGAAGAAAAAAAATACATGTTGAATCGAGCAGAAAGTCAATTCAAATCATTAAAAATTATTACTACTAAAATAAAATACATGAATTACAACAACTTTAATAAAAAACATGAAAAATACAAATACATAAAAGGTATGCCAACTAATTTAATGGTTTTAATCATTTAACCAATCCGTGTTGCTAGGCCCATCATCCCGGAAAAGTCTTCTTCTCATAACATCTCTTCGTTCTAGCTTCCAAAATTGTTTTGTTTCAGGGGACATATGGCTTGTATCCATCGTCATGGTTTCCCGATCCGTCTTGTCCATATCTTTTTTGCTCAAATACTCCATTTCTTGTGCTTACTCGGCTTGAATTGTCATCTCGTTTTCTTGGTGTTTCTGCTCCATTTCAATTCTTACGGTGTTATGCCTTGCAACTTTCTCCAAAATTTTTGAATTATTATTGCTTGAATTACCCGCTTTCTTTGCCTTCGCAGCCTTTCGGCCAATGGGCCTCGGCTCCTTTTCGATGGGTGAGTCTTGACCCATAAGGGAATCGATAGGTGAATCCGATGGCATTAAATCACAGAGTGGTGTCTCGTTTAACATAACCTCGGGACCCGTGGGAATAATTATGAAGCGTTTGCAATATTTCACCACCTTCCAACATTCATGATGGGTAAAACTTTTTTTGCCACCCCCGGTTATACCGAACCACATCTGTGCTTGAATAATCTATTTAACAAAAAAATGGAAATGCAAGACATATTTAAAATATATTGGATATGCAAGTAACAAAAAATAAATAATGGAAATGCAATTAACCTTACAAATAAATTGGAAGTGCAAGAAATATTAAGAAACAATTGGAAATGCAAGAAATATTAACAAAATATTGAAAATGCAAGAAATATTAACAAAATATTGAAAATGCAATAAATATTAACAAAATATATACATTAGGACATTAAACTTAATAAAATGAAAATTACAAAATACTTACCTCATTAGTATGATTTTCCCTGCTTCTATAGTTGTGCATCGCTTTTGACAAGGCATCTCTCCATTTTCCCAACTCTTTATTGAGAATTTTCCACCTACTAGACAATGCTATTTCCGTACGAGTCGACTCTGGAATTTTTTCACAAAATTCGGCATGAATTTTTTTCCACATATGAAAAAATTTCATCTCATTGCCTGACACGGGACAATGACAAATTTGGAGCCAAGCCTCACACAAGGAAACATCTTCCATGGTGCTCCATGCCCCTCCTGTTTCGATAGAAGAAGCCATAAAAATAAGAAATAAAAATATAAGGTGAAAGAGAGAAAAATGTTGAGTAAAGAGTGAATAATAGTAGAAGTATAATAAAATGTATGAGGATTGGTGTTCAAAGTGAAGGGTATTGATAGGTATTTATAGAATATTTATAAATAAATAAAAAATCAGAATTTTTTAGTATTTAAAAAAAAAATTCGATTTTTTTTCATAATTTTATTGCCAAAAAAATGTCAGCCGTTGGATTGGATTCAGAAAAGCAAATCGGAGCGCTGGGGGCGTGACACGCGGCTTCCACCCGTTGGAGATTGCACGCGCCAACAGTAAAAAAAATTTACACCGCGCGATGACGTCAGCGCGACGTCACGCATG